ATCCTGAAGGAACGCAGTTCGAACCCACCAGCTGCTCCACAGAGAAGGAGGCGCAGTCTCTTCCCATGTGATTAACTGCTTCTGAAAACCCCACTGGAGGGTCAGCTATGGGTTCTGATTTGACAGTACTCAACAACAACATTAGAATTGGCTTCTTCCTCACTCCCCTCCTAACAGCTCCCTGAATATCCATTCAAGTAGTTCTGTGTGTCGGTAGTTTCTTCCTTTTTACGGTTTTATGATGTGGATGTGCTAAGAGTCCCCAGGTAGTGCAAACTTGAACCTGCTCAACTGCTAATCTAAAGATTGGTAGGTAGAGTTCACCCAAAGGTGCTGCAGAAAAAGTGCTGGCAGTTGACATCCAGAAAGTCAGTCCTGAAAACCCTGCAGTGCACAGTTAGACTGACACACAGGGTCAATATGCGTCAGAATTGACTAATGGCAACTGGTTTGGTGGTATAGCACTGGTCTGTGCGTTGCTGTACAGAGGTAACTCGTGGTTGCTGTGAAGCTGAACATTGTGATACTGATGTGCCAAATGTGATAATGGTTATCCATGGTGGACAGTGTTTGGTGGAGCTCTCCGATTAAAACAAGCTCAGAAGCAGGGGTGGCAACCACTTCTAAATGGCTTGAACAGTGCTCAGGTCTGTCACTCACAGGGTTGCTATGAGTCGTCTGCGACTTGATAGGACTTAACAACAACAACAACAAAATGGAGCCTGCTGATTCGTTTGCCTCAGTTATTTCTCTGTTCCTGTAATAATACAGGTGAGATGGTGGCAGCACTGTATAGGTAAATACACACAGATTTTGCATACAGGTGAGATGGTGGCAGCACCGTATAGGTAAATACACACAGATTTTGCGATGCAAAGTTTTAGGTTCAAGTTCTAGTTCCACTGTTTCAGAGACATGTGTGTTTGGACAAGTTGCTCAATCTCTCTACCTCTGTGACATTAGGAGCAAACCTGAACTCACCGCAGTTGTGTTTTAAGTAATGTGGGGCATTTCTGATGAAGCCCTGTGATGTCACAGTGCTTTATGAGCCTTACCTGCAATGTGTAGTCATGCTCGCTTTCTACGTCATTCCCTGGCTCCATGTGTTATATTCATCTAGTGTCTGGTTCTCAGGGGGAGTTGGCTATGTCTGTGTTTCTTTTCATGTTGATAGACTAGTGCCCTGCCCTTCACTAGTCTGGTTGCTTTCACTCGTTAGAGTGGGTTGAAGGATACCCACCTGCAGGATGGCATGTGTAATGAATGTCTAGCCCTCAGTGCCCAGACATGTGACTTTGCTTAGAAAAAGGGTCTTTGTAGATGCTGTTGTTGATTGCCATCAAGTCAAGGTTGACTTACAGCAACTCTATGGATAAAAGACTTAATGTCTTTCCATAGCTGTTGGTGTTTCTCCAAGTTCATAGAGTTTCCAGAGGTATGTGGTTTAGGAAGTAGATGCCACTCCTGCTTCCAAGCCTGTTTTACAACTGGGAACTTGACCAAACACTGTCCATAATGGGAAACCATTCTGGTATTTGATAACCCCATGGCACATGGTTCAGCATCACAGCAAACCCAGGTTACCTCAGAGAGCACATTGACAAAGAGTGATGTACAAAGTGGAAGGGTGTTCCTCCAGATATAACAGCACTAGTCTCATTTAGCAGTGGTCAAGTGTTGTTGAGTTGAATACTACTCAGAGTAAGCTTTATACAAAAGACATGAACTCTGTTCTATAATTAACATCATTTCTGTACATTTATAAGCATTTGTAGAGTTTCTAGAGGCATCAAGTTTAGGAAGTGGATGCCACTCCTGCTTCCCAACATGAATCAATCTGAAATCTCATCCAAACATTGTATATAACGGGTAACCATTATGGTATTTGACACAACTGTGGAACAGTGTTCAACATCACAGCTACTCCAGAAGTAACCAAGTTAACGATCTCAGAATGTAATCAATCTGCATTAACTGAGTGGGCCTTTAAGTGCATTGTCAAACAAAGACCCAGACAGAGGGGGGCTCATAGCAGAAGTCCACATGGATACAGAGGCAGACATTAGAGTTAGGCCATCACAAGCCAAGGGAGAAGCTAGAGACGGCAAGGAGGTGGGCTTCCCTAGAGCCTGCAGAGTTTGGCCCCGCTGACAGCTTCCTTTCCAACTTCAGGTCTCCGGGCCTGTGAGAGAATAAAGTTCTGTTGTTTTAAGCCACAAGCTGAAGGTAATTTGTGACAGCAGCCTTAGAGAACAAATACTGTCATCTTTAAAGAGGGTGTCATTACACACTCCCAGACATCTCTCCTGCATCCCCAAGGCGGGACTATTGTTATGTGCTGTTGGGTCGCCTGCTACTCATAGCAACTCTGTACATGATAGCTCTGAACCCAGCCCCATCCCGAGCCTCTTCTTGTCTCCAGTTGTGTACCCATCACACCCCTTACATCTGCCACTCAAGTTCCATCTGCCTGTGTGATTACCCACTGATGTGTATATTCCGAGATTTGAACCTTACTAATGCTGCCTATCATAATATTTCTTAGACATCAAGAGCATTAATTCAATGTTTCATAAACATGAAAAATTAGTATTTCCTATCATAATATTTCTTAAATCCTACTTCCTTCCCTGGCATCCTGCCTACTCCCACCCTTAATCCCTGCCCAGCTCCCCTGGTACCTAGCCTTGTGGGAACCAGTCTGCCTAAGTTTTCACCTACAGGCACCCTTCTTGTGGCCACAAGTTAATGTTTCTAAAGTATTTCTTGGTAACTTTCTCACAGAGAGAGAGAGAGAGAGAGACTCAGCACAGTAGCTCCACGACTCTTGCTTTCAAGCCTCCCTATAATCGGAACCAAGTTCCTTTCCTATATCTAACTCCATGAATGACTTGCTGTAGGAAAACATGTCTAATGCCTAGGTTTATAGATCTACTTTCACTGAAATTCATTGCTCTTGAGTCAGAACTGACTCAGCTGACCACCGACTCACCAGTGGGTTTTCAGAGACTGTGAAAGGCACCAGAGGAGATTTCACATCAGTCTCCTGAAGAGCAGCTAGTGGATTCGAACTGCTAAAGAGGTGTGGCCTTTGAGTTAGGCATCAGTACCAGATTGTGACCTAGTGGCAGGAAGCTGCTCTTCAATCTTGAAGGCACGCAGTTCAAGGCCACCAGTTGCTTCTTGGTAGAAGGATGGACAATCTCCCCTCGTGCAATTAACTGCCTCTGAAAACCTGCTGGAGGGTCAGCTATGGGTCGGTTCGGACTCAATGGTACAAAACAACAACAACCACAACCCTATGGACCGTGCCAGCAAAGCCCCTAGCATATGCGTCACTTCTGTAAGACCGTCACTAGAGCGCTGAAGCACAGCAAAGAATGTTCTTTCCTCACTGCTGAAATCTTAATCACCAGCTGAATCCCCACTGCGTCCTCTCCCTTGTTTAAGGCCTTGTCGATGGTGTGGACAGGAGGGCAGTGTCTCTCCTCAGCTCCCCTGCCGTGCTATCCGTAGTATCTGTGCAGGGCCGAGGAGGCTGCTCTGAGTGGATGTGGAAGCCCTTGCTGCCTGAGGGGAGTGTTAACATCTGACATCAGCCCAACTCTTCCTTCTTTGCATTTCCTTGGGGACCTTAGGACCTCTTGGGGAGCGGAGCAAGCACTTTATTTAGTGCATTTTTAAATGCGTGTTATATTAATACAGGGCAATTCAATAACCTGCCCTGATGTAAGTATTTGGTTTTCTTTTTTTTTCTTTTTTAATTTAGTTTCTTTTTCATTTCAATGAACATCTACAGAGATTTTGGAATTCCGTTCATTCATTGTTGCACCCTTCTCCCCGCACAAACCCCTCCCCCCCACTTTGCTCCTCTCCTTGAAAAGCAAAAGAAAAACTCCCTCATTGGTACACAATCTTTTTAATTTCCCTGAGAGCATCTATATTGTTTTGTTCTTGTAGGATTGGGTGAAAATGAGGGCATTACTGAATAATTCCTACTTCCTTTAGGGTTGAAATACAGGGACCCCTTTCCAGTAAATCTGTGCATGGAATAAGCTTCTGGTGATGTGGAGGTTATTCCTGTGAAGTGGTACCCCATCTTCGACTTTGGGTGGGCTGGGTTGGTGAGTGGTTGAGGAATTCACAGGGACAGTGTGTGAACTGGAAGAGTGAGCTGGGAGGAGCTGGAGGCAGAGGGGCAGTGAGCTAGGTAGTGGCTTTGTATCCAGGCAGGAGTACATGGCCAAAAGTTCGCTTATTCCGTTAGGCAACCTGACAAGAAAAAAATCTCTATCTCCAGGTCATCTGAAAAGGATTCTATGAGTCATTCTCTGGAAACAGACATAGCTTTGTTATAAAAAACCCTTGAGATTAGCTGTGATCCTAAGGTATTTATAATGACAAATTATGGCAGGCCAGTATTGAGTTCCTTCTGGTTATACAGTAATTCAGAGGCAGGAAAGAAATATAATCTCAAATAGTCCTCAAACCCAGAGATGATTTCCACGGCATTCGTTTTCCCACAGTGATGAAGGTAATATTTTTTAAAAAATTATCATGTTCTTCCTTCAATTTATATAGACAGGGATGGAAAATTTAGTATCCCAAGAACTTTCCCTGTCCTCAGTGTTGAAAACATGAAGTGGCATGGTGGAAAAGGCGCTGAAGACCTGAGTTTGAATCCTGACTCATTTGCTTGCTAATTGTGCAAATTAACTTAATTTCTGCACCTTGGCATGAAGTTCAGAACTGTGCAAGGTTCTTTACAGTTGAATGCAGCTACATAAAGAGTGGATAGCAGAGAACGAGATCTGGATAAATTGTCCCATTATAATTGTAGGAGTTGGAGGTGGACATCAAAATGATAAAATGCCTTGACTTATTACAGGTAATGGAGATATTATCAAATTATAGAATCAATGCTGGCTCAAACTTAGATTCTGTTTTCATTGATTCCCTGTTTCTTTGGGAAATAATTTGCTTTGCTTAATTCTTTGCAGAATAACGGGACCACTGAGCACCAAGTGGAATCCTTCATACGAAAAAAACTAGAGTCGCTGTTAAGAGAATCTCAAATTCGAGACAAAGAAGATCCCGATAGCTTCACAGTGAGGGCACTGCTGAAGGCCACTCACGAAGGCTTAAACGTGCATCTGAAACAGGTATTCCGATCCCTCTGTCCTTGCCCTGTAACTGAAAGAAAGACAGACAGCGCCTTGTGCATTATTTCTCATAATTTGTTTTGTGAATGCTCTTCTAACTTCTTCCATTTCTCTCCTCATAGTGCTTTAGAAAGCAAGCCTTTCATTGCAAAACATGGAGTCAGGGAGTGGAAATGGCTTAATACATTAGTGGGGTCTTTTGGTCAAAGCTGACTGTCCCTGGACTCATCCTCCCTAGATACACCATGTGAGTCAGGAGTCCAGCCCAGCACACACCTTCCCTTCGCCCCCTTTCTGTTTAGCCACCTGTGCTTTTCTCCTTACGACCAGTAGTGTCCTGTGTTCTTGTTGGGTGGCATTGAACGACTTTGACTTACCCTGGGAATATAGCAGAACCAAACCCTATTGAATCCTGTGCCATCCTCACAACCTACGCCATACGTGAGCCCATTGTTACAATAACTGTGTCCATCCAGCCCCTCGAGGGTCATTCTCGCCTTCGCTGACCACCCACTTTTCCAGGTACGATGTCTTTTCCACAAAGCCTGACCGCTCCTGATGACACGTTCAATGAATATGAGATGAAGTTCCCCACAACTTCGTGTGCTCCTCTTCAACATCATCTTTGCTCTAGGCTCTGCAACATTTTTCATAAATGCAATTCTGATCACGTCGCTTCACTGTTTAAAATTCTCCAGGGGCTTCAGATGACACTTGGGCATAATTTTAGACTCCTTAACTGGCTTTCCAAGGTCGACATAATCGCTTTCCTACTTACCTCTTCTGCCTCAGTTGTCTCCATTTCTGGCTTTCCAAGGTCGACATAATCACTTTCCTACTTACCTCTTCTGCCTCAGTTGTCTCCATTTCCCCACCACATCACCTCTGCTCAGCTGTAGTAGTCTTGACACAGCACAGTCTTCCTCACATTCTCTTCTTTCACCCTGAACATTCAGTTTCTACATCTTTAGCGAATTGTGAGAGAGCTCTGGGGGCCTAGTCTGTAGCGAATTGTGCCTCTAACCTAAAGGTTGGATTGCATCCACTAGCAGTGCTTTGGGAGAAAAATGGACAATCTCTTCCTCGTTGAGTCATGGCCTCGAAAAGCCAATGGAGGGTCAGCTGTGAGTCAGTTCTGACACTGTGGCAAAGAGTTTGAGCTAATAGTCGTTCAGTCTTTTAGTTGCCACTGTGTGGTACAAATGGCTATGGATCTTTGTTACAAACCAGAAGGGTGGTCATTTAAATTTCTTCTTGGAAGAAAAGCCTAGTGATCTACCTTTGAAAGGTCACCGGCCTTGGAAGCCATGTGGAGCACATTCCTGCTCTGTGTACACTGGTCGCCGTGGGTCCGAATCAGTTAGACACAGCTCGGTTAGTGGGCATGAATGATTAGTAAGCCTTTTAGATTTCAGCTTCAATACTGTGTCCTGAGTGCTGCCTTCATCTGTAGATTAACTTAACTATTCTCCATAGATAGCATGCTTGGAAAGGTGGAGGGCCAGTGAAAGAAAGGAAACCGTCAACTTGACGGATTGACACGGTGACTGCAGCGATCGGCTCAAGTATGTAAAAAATACAGATGAGACAGGATAGGACAGAATTCAGATTTATTGTTCAGAGAGTCACTGTAAGTCATACCTAACAACATAAATCCTTAGATTACGGAAGCATGTTACATTGCCTCTTTTATGAAGCCTTTCTTAAAAAAACATATTTGCAGTTCTTCGTTTACTATCTGTCTTCTCAGGTGGACAATCATTTTGAACTACTGATGTGTAGATGCCCTCCTCTGACATTTTGGCTTCATGTGGTTTTACCTGCACCCATTGATTCCATGTCTGCTTCTTCTCTGATTTGCAGGGAGTCCTGTGAGGTCAAGGCCTATTGCACTCTCTTTATACTTTATCTTTAGCGAGGAACAGCTTTATACACATTTTAGAGGTGATAACTGAATAAGATCTAGAGTCTGAATCTTCTCATCACAGTGACCTTTCTGATCCCTAATGAGATATTGACTAGAGCAAGGAGAGTTGGACTGAGAAATGACCATCTGAGAAAATGTACCTGCCGCCTGAGAGAACCCTTGGGTGCCACTATTTATAAGGCAATCCCCACAGAAAGATTCAGAGGTTAGCTTTGCTGTGGTTTACTTAACACACACACACACACACACACACACGCACGCACACGCACGCTCTCTCTCTCTCTCCCACTTGGGATTTGGTTTTATTTATGTATTTCTCAAGGTTTCAAAAATCCCAATAGCAATGTCGTATCAGTACTGTGATCAGTCTGTCTAACAGAATTGGCTCATAATGACTTTTGGCCATTTTCCAAGATTAAATCTACACTTTACTGGAGAATGATTTATTCATGGCATTCTGAAGAAAGTGGCCCAGATTGTGGAGAGCCTCTTGACCCATCACTGTGAGGGGCTTGCACAGCTGAGTGTGGGTGAGGGGCCATGGCCCCAGCTTCGGGACACTGATAGTAGGTGCTGGCTGCTGGCCCAGGCCTCTTGGTGCCAATGTTCCCAGCTCTCAAAGCAGGGCCAGAACCACTATTACGGTGTTAGAGAGGAAGAGCATGAGGTCTGAGCAGACTCTGTTTATCTCCTACTTTGAGTCAAGAAGGAGAAAATGAAAAACTAGACCCAGGACAAAGGGAACCCTGGTGGCCTGGTGGTAAGGAGCTGTGCTCCAATCCCAAGGGCACACGGTTTGAATCCACCAGCTGCTCCACAGGAGATGGATGGCCAGTCTCCTTCTGTGTGATTTACTGCCTCTGAAAGCCCCCTGGAGGAAGGCCGACTCTGGGGTGATTCTGACCTGACTGCCAACAACAATAGCAGAGCTAAAAGAAGCAAAACCTAAGTTCAAGATTTTTTTTCCTTTTCAATTTTTTGTTGTAATATGTCTTTTTTATTTTTCAAATTTTTTGTTGCATGTCTTTTAATTTACTCATTTTATGCTTCTGTTTATTTACTTAGAGCCCAGATATAAAGGAAAGTGGAAAGAAATCACACGGACGATCCCTCATGACAAACTTTGGAAAGCATAAGGTATAAATAAGAAAGATCAATGGGTGTCATTCAGTTACAAAAATATGTTCACTAGCTTGATGGGAGGCAAGGGGAACTTGAAACATCAGCAGACCTGTGACCGTGTTTTAATTCATTTGGCTTCAGAGGTGCCCTCTTTCTCTGCTGGTAGGGAAAGACTCTGGGCCTTGGTTGGCTCCCCAGAGGCCTATTGATGGGAGCCACGGGGAACTTGAAGCATGGGTAGACCTGCAGCCATTTTTAATTCATTTGAGCCCAACATAATTTAAAAATTGGAGCATGGAATGTACATAGCTTGAATGTTGGAAAACTGGAAATTATTAAAAATTAAATGCAACATGTGAACCTACTAGGCCATTAACGAGATGATGGACTAACTTTGGCCACTCTGAATCGGATAATAATATGGCATAAACTATTAAAATGAAGAAATAGGTTTATCATGACAATAACATTTATTTCTGTATTAATAAATATCAAATTTGGAAATAGAATTTCTAAAAGTAATAATTTAAAATGCCTTATCAACTATCAAATAACTTGGACTGCATCTATAAAAAAATGTACAAGACTTCTACACAAAAAACTCTAAAATATTACTATTAAAGTTAAGATAATGGAGAAAGAATGTATATTCACAAGTTAGATTTAATTTTGTTAAATTACCAATACCTCACAAAGTGATCTGTAAACTCAGTGAACTGGCAATATAAATCTCAAAATTGTGTGTTTAGCAGGCAAAGGATGGAAAGGCTTCAATTGATTGTATCATTCATATGGTAATACAAGGCCAAGGAAGGAAAATTTTAAAAAATAAAATTGCAAATTATAAAATAGCATATTACAAAGCTACAATAGTTTAGATAGTGTGATGTTGTTTTATTGTTATTGTTAGGTGCCATCGATTCGAGTATGACTGTGACCCTATGAACAACAGATGTCCTATCCTGTGCTATCTTCACACTTTCTGACACATTAGAACCCATTGTGGGTCAATCCCCCTGACTAAGGGTCTTCCTCTTCTTCACTGACCTTTCTGAGTATCATGTCCCTCTCTAAGGAACAGGCACTTCTAGCAACATGCCAAAGTATGTGAGGCGAAGCCTCATCATCTTTGCCTCCAAAGAGCACTCCAACTACACCCTCTCCAAGACATACCTGTTCTTTCGGTCGTCCATGGGATGTGCAGTGCTCTTCTGGTACACCACAGCTCAGAGGCATAAATTCTTCTTTCATCCTATTCATTGAGAGCTGGTGTGGACTTAATGAGAGCTAATAAGGTTAATAAGTTAATAAGTAAATAAGGCTTAAGGATGAACAAATGGCTGAATGAATGAGCTCACACTCTTGTCCAGATATAGTCACTCAGTTCATCACAAGGTACCACTGTAGGAGAGGGGGGTCCTCACCTTTTATGATAAATAGGTGAGTTTTTTATTTAGATGTCAAAGGTGAAGCAGTGTTGTAGAAGGTACGTAGTCATCATCAGCTAATACCAACTGAAGAACTCTTAAACAATACCCCCCCCAAAGAAAACATTGTGGATTAAATTGCTGTAAGTTCTATGAAGGGAAAAATAGAAATCCACAGACATATAGGGTAGAGGAATATTTGGAACATATATGCCTAAAAACATACAGTCAACAGTCTTGGCACCAGCAGCCAGGAAATTAAAAGGCGCATTGCCATGGGAAAGTCTGCTGTTAGGGACCTCTCTCCAAAGTACTGAAGAGCAATGATGTCTCTCTAGAGAATAAGGTGCATCTGATACAGGCCATGGTCTTTGCAATCACTTGTTATGCATCAGAGAGTTGGACAATGACTAGGGAGGTTAGAAGGAGAATTGACGCCTTTGAGCTGTGGTGCTGGAGAAGAGTTTTGAGAGTACCATGGACTGCCAAGTAAACAAACAGATTCATTCTGGAGAGGGTTAAACTGGGCGGCTCCTTGGAGGCAAGGATTCTGAGGCTTCGTCTGACATACTTTGGGCATGTTGCAAGCAGGGACTAGTCCTTGAAGAGGGACATCATGCATGATTGGGAGGGTGGAGGGACGGTGCAGGAGGGGAAGACCCTCGATGAGGTGGATTGATTCAGTGACTGGGGTAATTGGGATGGATGTGTTGGAGACAGTGCGATTGCCACAGGACACAGCAGAGTTTAGGACTGTTGTACATGGGGTTGGTATGAGTTGCAAGTGACTCAACGGCACAGGACAACAACAACAACAATGCCTAAAAAAAGACTTGTAGTTGAATACAATAAAAGCCACTACAATCTCCGCCCCCAAACAATGAAATTTTTTTTTCCTTTTCAAAGAGAAAAATGAACTGGGGAAGAAGGGTCAGCAGGGAGGAAAATGTGCAACAATGAATGAATGGGGAAAAATTAAATTGAAAGAATATGCTATAAAAATATCTTTTGGTTTTCAAAGAGAGGAGTGAATGGGGGGGCGTGTAGAAAAAAAAGGGCAACAATGAATGAATGGAAATTCCAAATCTCTGTAAATGTTCATCAAAATTAAGAAAATAAAATTTAAAAAATATGTTGCATTTTAAAAAATCATTTCTTAAAAAAAGCAAAAAAGCCCACTACGAATCAAACAACACTTTAAAACCAAAACACAGCAGCACACTAATTACATTTCAGAAGGTTTAAGATGTTCAAATAGCAGTTGTTGGAACGCATACTAAAAGGACAAAGAGATTACACAGCTACTACCAGAATGGCTGAAATGAGAAGACTGACAACACAGTGTCTATGAGGATGCAGGCTGAGTTGAACTTTCATGTCCTAATAATGAGAGCATGCATTTATTTATGCAACTGCTTTGGCATGCTGTTTTGAAGTATCAATTAAAGGTCCTTTGAACTATGACTTATCCATCCTTTTGTATCTATCAAAAGACATAAGTACTAATAACATTATCTATATTAAAGTACTCAGGAGCAACGGTGTCTCTCTGGAGACTAAGGTGCGCCTGATACAGGCCATGGTATTTGCAATCGCTTGTTATGCATCAGAGAGTTGGACAATGACTAGGGAGGACAGAAGGAGAGTTGATGCTTTTGAGCTGTGGTGCTGGAGAAGAGTACTGAATGTACCATGGACTGCCAGGAGAACAAACAGATTCATCTTGGAGAGGATTAAACCAAGCTACGCCTTGGAGGCAAGGATTCTGAGGCTTCGTCTGACATACTTTGGACATGTTTCCAGGAGGGACGGGTCCTTGGAGAGGGACATCATGCTTGGGAGGGTGGAGGGACAGCGCAGGAGGGGAAGACCCTCTATGAGATGGATTGATTTGGTGACTGGGGTAATTGGGATGGGTGTGTCAGAGGCGGTGCGGTTGGCGCAGGATAGAGCAGGGTTTAGGGCTGTTATGCATAGGGTCGCTATGAGTCGCAAATGACTCGACGGCACATAACAACAACAACAACATATTACTTCCAGATGAGGCAGAAATTCAAATAACCATTCAACGAGAGTCAATGAAAAATAGTGATAAGTGCATGCAGAAGATGTAGTATTTAAGCTCAGTACAAAGTGACAAAATTGCATCTATATTCAATAGTTTGATGACCTTTGTACACATGGTGTTGAACAATGGAAACCAGGCTCAGAAGAACTCATACAGTATGACTGAAGTTATATGAGGTTTAAAAAAGTAGTTACGTCTAAGGAAGAGGAAGTCATGATTCAATGAAAGCACTGAATAACTGCTGGGTAGAGAAGGTCCTGTTTTCTCCATGGGAGTAGTTTTACTTTTTGAAAATTCTTCTTAATAAGGTGAGCCTGACTTAGGCCATGGGCGTTTCAATCACTTGCTTTTCATAATGAATGAATAAGGATGACGGAAGAATCGATGCCTTTGAGCTGTGGTGTTGGAGGAGAGCACTGAACATCCCATTGGCTGCCAAAAGAACAAAGAGATTTGTCTTGGAGAGACACGTTTTGCAGCCAGAGTGCTCCCTGGAGGCATAGATGGCTAGGGCATGACGCTGGGAGAGGCTATTCATTGTAGAGGACGTCCTACTTGGGAAAGCAGAGGGGCGGTCCAAGGAAGAGTCTCAGTGACATGGGTTGGCACAGTGACTACGGAACTGGGCAGTGTGTCAGGTATGATGAGGATGGCACAGGATAGGACAGGATTCAGATCTGTTGTCCATACGGTCATTCGGAGTCATACTGGGCTCGGCTGCACCTAACAACAGCACACAATGATGACTGGTATACTTGTCTAAATTTATGTTACACTTTTTAAACCATCACACATGAAAGTTTGTGCATGAACTTTCTGTAAAGTCATTTATTTTACTTTCATGAATATGGTGCATGGAAATTCCAGCCCCATCAGGGAGATAATTGATTAAAAGACTGGACAAATTAGTCACTACAATGAAAATGGAAAACAACCGAAAAGTTCACCCCTACAGTTACCTAAATAAACCCAGATTAATTCACATAATGGACAATTATGCATCTATTCAATGATGGTGGCTTTGAAAAGCTTAACATGGAAAACATTAAATAGAAAAACATAACATCAAATATTATGTTGTTTTTTTAACTATGATAAGGTTGGCCAAAACTTCATGGAAAGAAAATAGAACACCTTTTCACTCAGTGTTACCCACCATATTTTGCATTTAAAAAATTTAGTTATAAGTGGGTGATTTTCACTAATGTAACACCTTAAACGACTGACTGACTGTATGTGGGATTAAAAAGAGACTTCATTTCTTGATTCCAGGTTTCCATTAAATTAAAATTATCTTCCTAAGTGTTCTATGTAATATTCTATGGAATATAGAGTCTCATGCCTTGAATTATAAAAATAAGCAACTAATTCTGAGCCTAGTTGTAGATTGTTAAGTGACTGATAGACTTATTTCAAGTTGTAAAATTAATATTTTATAGGTTACAAGTGACTTTTCATGCCATCTCATTTAGCTGTCATAGTAATTTTCCTTATAAGCATTTTTATAAGTATTCCTTATAAGTATTCTTGCTCTCCCTTTTTTTTTTTTTAAAAAAAACCCCCAAAAACGAAATAGCCAACTAACAAGATCAACCAGTTTGCTAGTTTGATTTTAGGCTAAGCTGGAATATCAGTTCATTAGATTTTGCAACTCACATAGTATGGATGGATACTGAGGCTCAAATTCCACACTCAGGGCGAGCTCTGGTAGCCTAATGGCAAGAAGCTGCACTGCAATCCCAGAGGTGCACGGTTCGAATCCACCAGATGCTCTGCTGGAGAAGGAGGGACAATCTACTCCTGTACCAGTCAGATCTGGTTTGATGGTACACGCACACAAATAAGAAAAGAAAGGAAGGGGAAGGGGAAGGGGAAGGGGAAGGGAAGGAAAGGAAAGGAAAGGAATCTCCACAGTGATGGAGGTCAAACTACCATCTTGAGGACATTTATTTTTATCTGGTAGCAAATACCCTAAGAAGACACTAAATTATTCTTGGAACTTTCTAGCTGGAATCCTGTGGGCAACAATTCCTATCCTGTAGCTAGAAGTTCAATCAAGTCAAACTCTTTGGTTCAGGTGGTCATTTAACTGTCTACCAATTAAAGGCAAAGATGGGAGTTGCCTCGGCACTTTAAAATATCACTAATGTTTGTTTTGTTCCTTAACTCAATCTGCCTTTTAGAATTTACTGGTCAATGAGAGTAAGTGAACTTCCTGTGCATGGAGATATCTCATTGCTTAAAACCATTTCATTAGATACAGCAAAATGAACTCCTGCCCTTGCAGGAGAACATCAATGCATGACTAATGAAGTTTTTCCAAGTCCTGAATTTTATGTAGTTCAGAAGTCAGTCTCTGGCCATGAAACCCTGTTTTACATGAATATATTAATATAATTACACAGAAGTGCTTGGTGAAGCAAGCTGCAATGTCTGATTATTTTTTTTCCTCTGTGTGTGTGGTATGATTTTTAGGGCCTATGCCATTTTCTGTTTTTCAGATGTGACTAAAAAAGTGAGTTTGTGGTTCTTTTAAATGTGTTTTTATGATTCTTTTTTTTTTTTGTCCCCCTAGCAGAAAGCTGCAAAATCACGTTCTAAAACCTACCTTCCAGATGAGGAGGAAGAGATCCAGCCGAATGCCAGCAAGGAGAGTGGACAGCTGTACCGGTGAGAAAGATTCTCTGTTCATACACTTTAGATGTGTGTTGGTTTTTTTTGGTTTGTTTGTTTGTTTTTATTTTGTGTGTGTGTGTGTGTGTGTGTGTGTGTGTGTGTGTGTGTGTGTACCATCAAATCAAATCTGACTGGTACAGGAGGAGATTGCGCCTCATTTTCCAGCAGAGCATCTGGTGGATTTGAACCATTCTCATACACTTTGGATACCTTACCAGGAGGGACCAGTCTCTCATGATGGGAAGTGTAGCATGCTTGTCAAATCACAGAGCCATCAAAAAGAGGGAGATGTTTATCTTCACTGTCTACTAATGCTGTAACAAAAATATCCTAAGGGGATGACTTTATTTTTTTTTTTTAACTTTTTAAATCATTTTACTCTTTTTGTAAGGGGATGACTTTAAAGACATTTATTCCCTTACATTTTGTTGTTGTTGGGTGCCCTCGAATCCAGCACGACTTGTAGCAACCCTGTAAACAGGAGATCTGAACACGATCCTATGTTCTCACACTTGAGGAGACTAGAAGTCAAAATTCAGGGTGCTGGCTCTCGAGGAAGACTTTCTTTGCTGTTGATTCTAGAGAAAGATCTTTATATGCATCTTCAGACCTAGCTTTGCTTGTAGATCTCTTTGGGTCTAGGGTTAATATTTTCTTGGATCTTAAGAGGTTCAACATAAAGTAACCCTGGGTCCAAAGAGCACGATAGGCCCTAGGGGCTTCTTTCTGGGTGGTTCCTAGACCCTCTTCCGCCTTTGTCTGCTTCTCTCTCCTTTTATCTCTTGTAACATAAAAAGAGGGAGCTCTGGTGGCAAAAAAGCTGCACTGTAATCCCAATGACACGGGTTCGAGGCCAGCAGCTGCTCTGTGGGAGAAAGATGGGCAGTCTCCTCCCGTGTGATCAACTGCCTCTGAAAACTCACTGGCGCATCAACTGTGGGTTGATTCCGACTTGACGGTACACAATAACAAAAACAGCAACGGTAATGATACAGATCGCACGCCAGGGAACCGTGCTGATTTACACCGGCTCAGGGCTGTGATGGGATCAGTGGTGAGTATATCACACTTAATCCCGTTCAGTTTATAGAAGATCATGAAAGATCATTTAATTGCCACATTATGTCACTGCATCAGAGACATAGACAGTCCTGGCCCCAGCAAGGAGCACACTTTCCGAGAAACAACTCAGCCTGTGACAACCCGCACAGAGACTGTTTGCTGTAGTGCCTGCAGCAGTGGGTGCCAGCGTAGCAACAATTGTAAGAACGGGGCTTAAAAAGATCCAGTTTTTATGCAAAAAAAAAAATATTCCCTGTCATCAAATTTCTTGGAGACTTGCTTGTAGTTTCTAATTGTAAGGTAAAATAGGAGCATGCATTCTTTCTGTTATTTTTAATAATTATTTGCCCATGGTCGTATTTCCTTTTAACTAGTATGAATTAATGGTGTACTTACCCTTTAATTCTTCTCTGAGTGAACACATACAAGCACTGCAAGGACTGGGATTCTTGCCTCATCTATTTTATGCTCAGTAGATACAAATATTCATTGAGTTAGTAAATTTATGCCTTTATAGTTCAGTCACTGGTTTTAAAATCAGAGGGAGGGTGGTCAAAGGAAAGGGTAATCGGTTATCCAGATGGTGATAGCAAAGGAATTAGGATTAAAAGATTTCTCAGTCGTGTTGGCAAACTCACAGAGTTGTGCGGCCACCACCACCACTACCTAATTTTCGGACATTGTCATCAGTCCAGTAATAAATCCACACCTGTTAGCTGTTATTCTCTATCCGATGAATTCTTTTGTCTGACTTTTATTCCTTAATGCACTATTTTTAATATTCCCCATATTGTTCCTTTTACTGATGAGTACCATTTCTCTTTGTGAATAGATGACATTTTATTTATCCATTTGTCAGTTGAGGAAAGGCTGTTTTCTCTCTTTTTTTTTTCTATCCTGAATAATGTGACTAAGAACATGCACATATATGCTTTTGGGCTGTTGTTGTGGTTGTTATGTGCCGGTCATCGAGTCACCTGCAACTCATTGTGACCCTGTGTACAACAGCCCTAAGCCCTGCTCTATCCCTTGCCAATTTTATTGTCTCTGACACGCCTATCCCCATTACCCCAGTGACTGAATCAATCCATCTCATTGAGGGTCTTCCTCTCCTACACTGTCCCTCCGCCCTCCCAAGCATGATGTCTCTCTCCAAGGACTGATCTCACCTTGCAACATGTCCAAAGTATGTCAGACAAAGCCTCAGAATCCTTGCCTCCAATGAGCAGCCTGGCTTCACCCTCTCTAGGATGAACCTATTTGTTTTCCTAGCAGTCCATGGTATTCTCAATACTCTTCTCCAGCACCACAGCTCAAAGACATCAACTCTCCTTCTATCATCCTTAGTCATTGTCCAGCTCTCTGATGCATAGTGAGTAATTTCAAAGACCATGACCTATATCAGGAGCACCTTAGTCTCCAGAGTGACATTTTTGAAGAGGTCTCTGACAGCAGACTTTCCCAATGCAATTAGACTTTTAATTTCCTAGCTGCTGATACCAAGAGTGTTAATTGTAGAGCCAAGCAACCTGAAGCTGTTGACAATCTCAATCTCTTCACCATCCGTAATGATGCTGCTAATAGGCCCAGTGGTGAGAATCTTTGTCTTCTTGATGTTGAGCTTTAATCCATATTGAAGGCTGTAGTCCTTGACCCTCTGCAGCAAGCACTTCAGGTTCTCCTCAGTTTCAACAAGCAGAGTTGTGTCATCAGCATAATGCAGACTGTTGATAAGTCTTCCTCCAATCCTGATGCCACATTTCTCCTCATAGAGCCCAGCCTCCCAGATAATCTGTTCTGCATATAGATTGAAAATATATTGAGATTGGACACGTCCTTGGTGCACACCATTCCCAATTTTGAATTATGCAGTATTTCCTTGCCCTGTTCTGATGACTGCCTCCTGGTGCAAGTATAGGTTTCACATAAACACAATCAAATATTCTGGGAATCCCATTCTTCTCAGAGTCAGCCACAGTTTATTGTGATCCACACAATCAAATACCTTTGCATAGTCAATGACATA